AAACTTAAAAGTAAACATAATATTTGTGAAGGAATGGTATCTGTTAAAGTAAGATCAAATATGCTACCTTATTAAGGATTTCTATATAGATGGGACTAATGAGACATGAGTTCCCCATATATTTTTACCCAGACAGTTCAAACAGTTTTAAGCAATAGCAATATGGATAACAATAACATTACTTAGTTTTTTTGTGATGATAATTAATGTGTGAGTATTTGCGTTTTCCAAATTACAAAGAAAGATGTCAGTGAGCCACTCATTGATCTGATAGTGAACTTGAAAGCAATTTCCCCAACAGACATTATATAATATACATTATATTAACCATTTAAATCAGGAATGGGCAATTGATTTTCCAAAGTTGCCACATGAGAAACTGTGACTGTTTTGGCAGCACCAATAAACTGACCTCAAATTTGCTCAATGTTAACTTTATCTCTTTATAAACTATTGGTAAGGCAATGAAAATGTAAAATAGGCATAGTAAAAATCAACATTTACAAAAATCATTGCAAGACTTAACTTTATACAAAGTGCTGTTGCTGTTTTGTTTGTAGGTTAATTACTTCAGTTCTTTTTTTCCCTGTTCAGTGAGAGTCTGTTTAAACTCAGGTTCAGTGAAGGACAGCGGACAGATGATTGTCACTGTTAGAGACTCTGTATCTGCATTTGTATTTGTTTCATTCCTCAGATGGTTTGTTTATTTCCAAAGAGAAAACAAAAAAAAAAACCTATTCTGTGCATTTGTCCTTACATAAGGAAAGTTTTCCTCTATGAAAGAAGAATGAAAATCCAACAGCGATCCTGGCTCAAAATGCTCTGCCAGCAGTGACTCTGACTACAGGTCGATGAGGTCTTGCAGAACATTACTGGATGCATTATCCACACTGCAAGTGAAGGGAGAGGAAATCATGTGCATTTCACTCTGAACTGTTTTGAAGTCTTCAAATCCCCATGAAATCTCATCAAGAAGGGCTCCTAACGTAAAACAGTACCAGCCGTGGTGATCAGCCAATGGTATGGCTTCTTTCACTGTTGATATGCAAGTAAGGATGTTGCTGCCCAACAGGCTTGACAGAAACAGCAACTTTCTCATGAAAACCTTGCCTAAGCTATACGTTTGATGTGCAGCCCTTGCCTATCAGTTTGGTATTTAACTGCTTCATTAGTGCACATCAGTAACAAATCAGTGATTTACCTTCAATCTGAGAGCTGAGAAATGTCAATGGCTTTCTTCTCACAAAGCTCTTAAATTCCTGCTCTCAGGTTGCATATATTTGTTTTTGGTTTTTTAGCATTTTATTACCTGACAGCTGTATGGTAGCCTATGTCTCCATGCAAGCTGTTTCATAATTACATGGAACAAACTGTCTGTGACACAGTGCTATTACACTGACGAAGTTAGCTATTTTAGTTACATCAATCACATGGTTAAATTTTAGCACTAGCAGAAAACCTGGTGTATAATACAGTACAAACATATCAATTAAACTTCTCATTTTAGTCATTTCTGCTTTAAAAACCATTTGTAGTAACACCTACCATTTTCAGCCTTAGCTTATCCAAGCATGCAGCTACTTTCTTGAACTTGCATGCAGAATTTTCTTTTATTGCACACATTATCACAGAGCCAGGAAGGAAAAGTTTAAACTGTCCACTTAGTTTTTCAGCTGAAGTTCCAGATTCCCTTCAGTGTCTTTACATCTAGCTTTTTTTCACCTGGAGGGGCACATTCATAAATGCTCGTTTTTTTTCCTCAGCACACTTTTCAGTTTGCTAAACATTGTCTGATCAGCTCCCCATTAACAATAGCTCAGTATTTTGTGTAATTTTGTTGGAAATCACATAGTTGGTCTTGAGCACTCCATCCCTGGATGTGTAAAACTTGTTGTCCTTGTTGCTTCTGCAGCTTTGCAGGAAAAGGTTTAGATGTCCGTTCCTGCTCTGCATCAATAAAGTTCTTGTTTTTCTCTGTGTGTTCAGTCTCATAATGTTGAATCAAATCCTTAAACACAACCATCTGCTCTCCACAAACTAAGCATATGGCTTTACCTCTCACTTCAGTAAAAAAATACTTAGAAGTCTTTGTTTTGTTTAAAACTCTACATTCTCCATTAATCTCTATTTTTAATGTGATTCCCCCCCCCCCCCCCCAAAAAAAAAAATCACAAAAAACTGTAACATATTATAGAAATATTATAGTCAGTCCTCTACAGGAGGTTAATTATCACTGTCATATCACACATTACTATGTGTATATTTTGCACTGAGTGCACACAGAAAAACACCACTCAAACTGCATAAATCACATAAGGCACACATACCATGCCCACACATTTGAAGAGATACATTTTCCAATCCCTTTTTCCATTATTTGCAAATCTCCTCTAGAAATGTATGAACAAAGTATGAAAGCACAGAATCAACATGTAAAACATAGCTGCAAGTAGCAATGGTCAGGGTCGACCAAGACTGAACTATTAACATTTACCTCCTTCAAAGAGAAAATATTTTAGCAAGTACTGCAGTTAGGAGACAGTGGAGCAAATCATAAAAACTGTTGATTACAAGTTAGAAAGGTTTTGGAACTTACTTATTACAGCATTACCTATGGGTACAACTTTTAGAGTCTGGGAATTTAAAAACTTTTTTTTTTTTGCACAAGCACCTAGTATTAGAAACAATTACTATAGTGTTCCTACAATATGGCTACTTGGATCCATAATCATAATCTTTAGATTACTTAATTGGTTCTTAAAATATAAGGCATAATAATTATTAATAGCTTAAAATAAGAGAACTGTGACTTCTTTGACACTCCTCCTTGGATGTGCTTTAACCACAATTGAAAGAAATGTCCCAAAGTATACAAAGTCCTCTCCCTTAATGATTGCGAGCGGATAATTCAAATTCGATTTTTGATGTAATTATTATCAAATGTCAGAGCAAAAACAACTCTTCTGTTATTGTGAAACAGCTTGCAAATGCGCAGCACACACATTTGCAACTCTAATTGATTATTACTTTTTTGCTAATTTTCCACATTGTGTTGTTGTCATTAGCCATTAGTGGGAATTATACTTGGAAGTCTTTTTCGAGAAGAGATTGAAAAACATTTTCTTCTCATGCTGAGCAGAATTCAAAACCAGACGATCTAATTGTTGTAAAAATGCATTAACCTTTCAAAACATAAAGAGACGGGGTGACACAAACCATCTACTGAGCTAATGAAAATGAACCTCAACTAAAGGTTGTCAGGTTTCAGTGTGATTTGAACAAGCTGTCACCACAAAGAAAAATAAAGTGTCACGTTATACGTACTTTCAACAGTCACTTTTCTTTCCTGTCATATTTTCTGAGATTGTTTTGCAATACGCTCTAATTCATGTTCTTTTAAAAGCTGAACATCTCCTAAAAGATATTTGTCACATTCTGTGCAGGTGAGGACAATTACACTGCACACAATTAATTTCAGGTTGTTAAAATTCAGACAGTAATCCTCCTTCAATTGTAGGCAGCAGAAAATTACCAACCATCACAAAGATAAAAGATGTGCTCAAATGTGTTTCAAATAAACGGCTGGTTAAATTAGTGCACACGAGGTATGTCTATCAACTCTCTTCTTCGGAGCAGCACTAAAATCTATTGGAACAAAATGTGAGACCTGTGACTCTTTGTCTTCTTCCCATTTCCCCAATTCTCGCACAATTTTCACATCTTAAAAATTAACTAACAGACAGAAGTTTAGAGGGTTAGTTTTAGATTTGCAGGTGAATGTAAGACATTTGGCTCCCCTGTTACCCCATAACAAAGACACATACCTAAAGGCAATATAACAGTTATCAACAGGCTTCTTCCATGATATTTGCCTAAAACTTTAATGATAAACAAGGTAATGTGCTGTAAACTCACTTTTTTCTCTCACGATACCTTTAGAGGTTCAAACTCTAAACCTTGCAATTAAACCCCTGTACATTCTGATTGCTGCACACTTCACTTAAAGCAGCAACAGTGTCTAACTGCTATTTTTTTTATGCTTGACCTACTTTGTAGTACACTGGATGATAAAAAGGATTAAGCTGCTAACTGAAATCTTACTTACAGAGAAGACAACAACCTTAGTTATGATTGATATACACCTGTCATAACTAATTGCATTAAAACTAAAGAATGATTAGGACTCTCTTACCATCTCTACCTTTCCTTCCCTGCCACTCAACCACTCTGAACGCATGATTAATGTGCAATAGGTAACATATAATGTTGTGGGGATAAACACTAAGAAAACATATGGATAAACAACTGCAACATACCTTGCCTTATCAAGCAACATAAACTTTTCCTTAGTTTAAAAGATAAAAACTCATTTCAATTAATATTTTTGCATGATGCAAAGTCTATCTAAAGCAGTGCAAAAGGCAAATGAGGTTATACGAGTCTTGTCGAATATTCCTGAGTTGGTCTAATCAGTGATCAACAGGCCGTAAAGAGAAAGGCTTCACAAGAGAGCATTTTGGATTCTGTGGAAAGAGATTCTGTGATTGATGTTTACAAGAGATGTTATACAATTAAGGGTTAACACGCACAATTCAGTGCCAATCTCTTTCAAAATCCATCTAGTGGAAAAAAGACTCTTTCACAATTGAGCATTCCGGCTTCTTGAAAGGTTATCATTTGCTTGATTTAAACATTAGCAATCATTCTTATTTTATTTTTTCCACTGATTACCAAGCAGCTCTTTTGTTCTAAATATGATGGTTTTTCATATCAAAGATTCTAGTCATGACTGTCTTTCAAGATTGCAGCAACTCAGCCAGTAAAACACAGCATGGAAACCTAAGTAAAACATATAAATTAAAGTAAGCAGTGAGCATAATCAACTTGTTTTTTTGTTTTTTGTTTTAAAAAAAAAATACATTTATGGAGTTAGTTTTAGGTTTGGATTTAACAAATTCTTATTTTTTTTTTTTTTTTATCTTGTTATTGTTTTCTTTCAGACCATGAGCGGATCGGAAAAGATTCATCATATGAACAGGAGGGGAAGGTTCAGTTTGTTATAGATGCAGTGTATGCAATGGCTCACGCTCTACATAATATGCACAAAGACCTCTGTCCTGGAAAAGTTGGTGTTTGCTCCAAGATGGACACTATCAATGGCACACTGCTTCTCAAATATATCCGCAGTGTCAACTTTACAGGTATGTATTCCTAATTCTGATAAAGCACATAACCCTAACCCATTTTGCCGTGTGAAAACAAGATGGACATGAAAGTCTGGGAAGTATTTTCAGCTAAAGTATCAAATAGAATGAAATGTCTTTCCTTATAAACAATATTTATCATAGGGATGTGTCAATATATCAGTCAACCATCAAAACAGGACCAGAATACCTTATAGATGTGAGTAGTACACAACTTTTTGGTGCATTTTTGGGTTCACTAGCATATTTGTGCAGAGCCTTTAGTTATATACTATGCATTGGTCTCAAATTATCAGGCGTCTGAAAGTAAATTATTTCCAGCAAGTACTGAGGCTGAGATCCGTAGGAGGATTGACAATCACCAGCAGAACAGCATGTTTTATCATGGTTGATGATGTGCAGGAACTGCGCTTTGTGAGATTTCCTGCCTTATCATGTAAGCATTGAATTGCCCACACAGGAGATCTGCTGCTTTAAGTACACTTGCTGCTTAAAATTATATGTAAATGAGAGTGGGAAGCACGTTAACATAAGGCACAACAGAAATGGGCATCGGTAGTTTTCCAGTAGTTGTCCAATGTAAAGTGTCACTGGCAAAAACAGGATGCAGTTGTCTCTGAGACAGAAAGAGATATGAGTTGATTACATTTAGCGTAGCTTCATGACTATCCCTGAACTGTGACGGTGTATGATTTGAGGGAAATCATGTTGTGCTTATAAAACTTTATAAAGGTCACAAAAACTGGAATTTTTCAGACTTTAGTAAGCAAATGTCAATACATATTTCGTCGAGTTGTTCTTACTTCTCAACCTGCTGCCTCCATAGTGTAGTGGTTAACATATTCATTTAACAAGTGAAAGGTTGCTGAAGCAGTTCTAGCCAGGAAAACAAATCCTTTCGTCAGGAAGGGAGCAGCTAATAAAGTAGCTTTTTCTCAAACTCAGAAGTTCAGCTTCTCTCTGTCTCTTTATAAAACTGTAATACTTAAACTTAGAGAATTACTGTTTACCACTAGCTGACCCAAGACAAAAAAATGGATTTCATCTGGTTTCAGCATGTGATTAAAACTGCCACTGTTATTTGCATAATTTCACAAAAGCCTGTATAATGACACTATGAAGTAGATCCGACCTTACCGTATTAAAAAAAGGTACATATATACACAGCATGGGCATGAAGATAATCTTGTAGTTTGCAAAGATTGAATAAACAACATATGAAAATTTGAGGTCTACCTTAGGTCAGTGTAAGTAGTTATAACAGCTTGAGTTAATTATATGACAAGAGAAGAGGGCCATGCAATCAAGCAGAATGCAACATGAGTGGTCTGACACAGTCTCCACCTGCTCCACCCTCACAGATAATTATATAGTAATGGACACATTTATTTCTATGACAATTATAGAGTGGGATCTTTTGGTCAGGGATAATCATTCTACAGCTAAGTATGTGACAAGAATAATATACAGTAAATTACACAATTAAGAAAGTTGTCGATGAAGCAAAAGACATCTGCTCCACTTCTTTGGAATCCAGACGTCAGTTGCTAACGTATCTGTCTGGAGCTTGGCCAGTAGCTTCGATGAATCCTACTCTTAGTGTTTATAAGCGGGATGCTTTCACACATAAAATGCTTACATTCAATTCACATAGACCTCTAGTGGCTGTAGGAATTACACAGTTCAGTTACACATTTCAATCACTTACAAATGAAGTAAACAACACTGCCGCGTCTTATAAATAATTCCTCTCAAGGGGTGGGGAATAAATACGCATTTTTTAAGTTAATGTGTTGGAAGAAGAAAAAAATGAGCAAGCATAAATATCTGAACAGCACTGACAAGGACCTGATTCTAAAAGCTAGATAAAGATATTCTTAGGTTTTCCTTATCTTGGAAGTACCAAGTTTGGCAACTACCTTTAAAAATAAGTCCAACTGGCTACAGGGTCATGAGCACCCAAGATTCAATAAATGATAAAGGCTGGAAAGGCTGGGACTATTGCACACCATAAACTTTTAATGAAAACCTTGGGCAAGAGATAGCTGTAGGATGCACTGCAAAAAAGGTAAGCTGACTGTGGCAGTGTGATATTCTGGATAATCTCCTTCTGGTAAACTCTGGGTCCTGGCATGTGGCATGAGGCATGTGGATTATATAAATATTGTTGCCGACCACATATACCAAATCATATTTACCTCAACCCATTATTTATTTTCTCACCAATTGTCAAGAGCACCTGTGTCACATCAGCAAAATCACTTACTAGAGAATTTGACTTCTTTTACTTTCAGAACTGCTTTAATTGTTCATGGCATAGAGTCAAAATAGTGAAATAGAGATTTTGTTCTATTTTGACACAATATTTTTCACATTAATGACATGAATTTACCATTCCACCTCACCCCAAAGGCGATTTGGAAACTAGAGACTTCACTGTCATGTTCAAGAAACCCGTTTAAGATGATTTGAGCTTTGTGACATGCACGTTATCTCGCTGGAAAAGCCAGTCAGAAGATAGGTACACTGTGGTCATAAACATTGTCAGAAACACTACTCGGGGCTTTCTTTAATCTTTACTACTACTATTTTAGTACTAAAATGTATCACGAAAATATAACACACAGCATTCTACCAGAACCACCAAAACATACAGTTGATACAAAGTATGATGGATCCATGCTTTCACATTGTTTACACCCTACCATTCAAATGTTGCAGCAAAAACTGAAACTCATCAGTCAACGCAACATTTTTCCAATCTCCTGTTGCTGAGCTCTGTTTCCTGTTCACAGCTGACATAAGTAACATCTAGTGTGGTCTTCTGCGGCTTTAATCCTTCAAGCTTTGATGTGTTGTGTTCTCAGAGATGCTCTTCCACCTACATTGATTGTAACAAGTAGTTATTTAAGTTCATTTTGTCTTCCTATCCTATCAAAGCAGATATCAGTGAGGTATTTCGCACAGAGAATTCCTAGATAATGGAAAAATAGATAAAGGATGCCATGTATAGTAAACTAAAAATAAATGTACCACTGTAAACTGATGATGCAAATCAAAGTAAAGAAGAATCTAAGTTTAAAGGCATTCTCTTCTTCTCATTCTGTTCACATCTGTCGACAGCAGAACAATTCCCTTTACTAGATGATTTTCAGACCATAATCTTTATTGTAGAATTTGTTGTGCAGAAAGATCACAGTAGATGAGCATTTCCTGAAATACCCAGGCTGTGAGTCCAAGCTCCAGTCAAAATAATCTTTCTTTCCCATTCTTATGATGAGTTTTAACTTCAGCAGTTCATTTTGAGCATGTCTAAATGCAATGAGTTGCTGCTATGCAATTGGGTTATTAGATATTCGCATTGACAAGCAGTTGGGTGGGTGTACTTAATAAAGTGGCCGGCAAGTGTATTTTTGCCGTAGCTGCTCAATTGTTTTTGTGCTGTAAATGGTACAGTATTCCAGCCTTAATTTCAAGTGTATGACCTTTCGCTGTACCTGTCTCCTGATTTGCCAGATTCCCTTCCATGCATTATGTGATTTTTACCTAATAACTACATAGGTGTTCTCTGATGGTAGTTGTCTGTTTGTAATGGAATTTGCCATACTGCAAAATTGTTCAGGAATTGTTTCAGAAAAATGAAAAAGAGTTCAAGGTGTTAACCTAGCCTCCAAATTCCCCAAAGAAAGGAATTAAAAATGTAAGTCCTTGGTTTGTTTTTTCATTTCCTACAGACAACCATTATTTGCTTTTAACAACCTTTTCTTGACTCAACCAAGTACAAAGTAAGGATTTTAAACACAAAACACCCCCTTAGCCTCCTACTGTAAATACAGCAGTTATAAAAGACCAACAATCTGCTCCATCTGTAAAACAGATGACAAAATTATATGATATACCAGACAGGCATCCAACTGTCCAGTGATTAGTCAGGGCCTAAATTTTGTGTCTGTTTGACTTAAGCAAACATGAACTCATTCGTTCTTGTCAAGGATAGTAAAGTTTAACTTGACTCTTGTGTTTGCAGCTTTCAGTTTTCATCCCTGATGGACACTGAAAGGAAACACTGCAGAACTCAGGAAATTTGTCTATGTCAAAAGTGTTTGTGAGTGTGCTTATTACTGTGCAAGGAGGTCAATCCATATTTGTGCAAAATTAAACAAATGGAATAGGTAAAGACATTGTTTAGATTTGTGTCCAGGAGTCATCTTTGGTTAGTTCTAAAAGATCAATCCTCATAGCACCATAAAACTTTAATCAGCAATGCTATATGTATAGATGTGCAGTACAAAATTAGTGTTCTTCAAATCTTTATGCATTATTTTATTCATGGTTTTATGTTACTGGAAGGTTTGTCAGCACTGAAGCCATCGGATTTTCAACAGCGATGGCTAGAAAATCAATGCTTCACATTACCGGAATCCTGCCTAGCTCGCTTTGCTTTTAAGAGTCTTTCAGTTCACAGAATCGGAGCCTAAAAGCTCTGAACAATGTCAGCATCCATATGATCCCTGTGTATTATGGGAATTTTCTATAGACATACACGCTGACTAAAGGATACCCAAAACTTTACAAATATTGTACATGAAATTGATACTTTTTGATCCATGATTATTATCTATTATAAAGTGAAATAAATTGATATTGGTTAGATTTAAGAAAAAGTCCAAACTTAATTCTGTTTAATACTATTTTTCCGTTTAGCGTTATAAAGTAAACCTCGCAGACCATAAATCTGATAGTAGGTAAGTAATATTAAACATGTCATAATTAAATATTTGTCTTTTAGTCTGGGGTTTCAACATAGCTATTTATACAGTATGTTTCAAATTGTCGAAGGAATTACTCCAAGTTCTGTTTCTTACGGTCTCCTGTGGTGGTGTGTCTATTAACAGCCCAGAGAGTGGGTCTGGGAAGAAAAGATAACCCAAAAGCAGTCAACAGGCATTGCATTTACACTGACACATAAGAGGATGGGAGGGCACAACAGTCAGTGGAGGGTATTATTTACATGTCGGTGTTAAACAGAGACAATGGTATCAAGGGTCTGGAAGTCAACAGTGGAGTAACAAAATCAAATAAATAAACAAATAACACAAAGGTGAAAAGGTCAAATTTTCATATACACTAGGGCCGAACAGCTACCTTCTGGTTACAATATTGCAACCAGGAACAACAGAATGTTAAAAGCAAAAGATTAAGAGAAGTGACTCTCTGTCGATATTCCTGACCAAAATGCTATTTGTTAGGAGGTTTAGTCGGTGCAAATAGGGTTATGCAGAAGTTTATGAGTTTTTGGGAGGATTTTTTTATCACTTGTCAGATAAAGCATGTCTCATATCTTCAGAGCGACATATCAAGTTAAAATACGAAAACTTGGGAAATTTTATATCCTTATATATTCCAGAAAATATCACAAACAGTAATATATTACTCTCAATCCAGGACTGACGTGGTATGCGTGGTATGGAGGGAATTTTTAACTTCACTGATGTATGCTTAGACTGCTCATTTTTCTGTTTGTTTATTAGCCAGAATACACCAACACTAGCATGACAAATTTCACAAAACATACTGTAGATGTGGAGCAAATCATATGTAGTGTTGATCTGGATCGTATTCTTAAAAATGTTCAAGTATAACAAATTTAAGCTTGCAGTGTGTGTATATACCATAATAACAGATCTTAAGCAAAACACCAAACTGTGATGGTCTGATACTATTTGAAAGACTACATTATTCTTGAGCCCAGTGTCATAAAAGACAATAAAAGCTGAAGAGTAAATACTGAAAAGATAATCAGCAACACCTTGGGGCCCTAAATCTGGCAAATTGATTCGATAATAACCATCGAAAGGTGGTCTGGGAACTGTAGCGTCAGTTCTTGCAGTACAGAAAGCCATGCAACTGGAAAGCAGTACTGTCCTTAGATTTTTTGTAATGTGATTTAAAAAAAGATGAAGCAAGAAATAAAGTTCACTAAGATGGCATCAACGACGCCAAGCATTTAATGCTAAAATTGCAAACGTCATAGTGACGCAACAAAAGAATATTGGAATGGTCAAATATTTGGATACTGCCCACGTTTCAAATGACCTGCAATGTGAGTACTTGTTAATCATGCCCATGCATTAATGTATTATCCATTTGATTTCCATGTTAGTAAGAAACACTTAGACTCAGTCTTCAGTTTCCTCAAAATGTAGCTCTCCCAAGATGTGAAACTAATTGATTAAGGCAATCAAATTAGTGGAAATACACATCCTACTCAAATTTCTTCTATTGCTGAGGTGAGCAAGAAAATCTTCATAATTGCAATTACTGCCTGCTGTTGTCTCAGACATGCTCTCTGGTTGATACACCAGGATGACACTAATGCAATTACGTTCTATGGATTTTGATGAGACCTCTGACAAACACAAATCTGCACTGGTGGAGAGAATACATCTGGCCTAATGGCTTGACTCACAGGTTTCCAAATCTGGCTAACAGGTTCAAACAACAATCAACAATCAATAGTGTGACCTATTAAAAAAGAACAAAACACTCAAACAAACAATTCCCTTTTTGGTTATCACAGAGGACAGTACAGTCAATACTTGTGGAACATGATAAACTCCCGCTAGTGCTGGAAAACACTGTCAAGCGTCTGCATGATTTTTATGTTATATGTTAAAGAATTTCTGACTAGTGTCAGATTTCATTAAATGAGAAAAAACAAATATGGTATACCAAACAGCCAAACTGAGATACCATTATTGGTTCATTTATAAGTGAGGTGGCGGGCTCTCATCACTAATTCTGTAAATCTTCAACTCCTTAAAACACAATTTTATAACAAGTTGAAGCTCAAGAGGGGATTGTAGGTTGGCTTGGGAAGAAAAGCAGGGACACGAGAGAGACCTCAAAGTGGTAATCAAAATCAGTGCTGTCATTCGTTAGCACTCTGAGTGGGGACCTAGTGGATAACACTCAATGGGGCAATAAGCAGAATGAAAGAGTGTGAAATGATACGGGAACATGAACAGACAGCAGCCCTGGCCCTTCTCAGAGGACCTGGAAAACATGCCTGTCAACATCTATTTTGCTGCCGTCATTAACACTATAGCAGCACAAAGTTGAAGTTCCCCTTGCAACCTCATTTAATTTGAAAATCAAACCTTGAATTTTTATGGCAATGTTCAACACTGGATTTCAGCTTTAACAGTATCCTCTTTAAAACAAAATAACTACACTGCTTTTTTTGCCTTTATGTTCTTTAGGAATTGCTGGCACCCCTGTGGTCTTCAATGAGAATGGAGATGCTCCGGGTCGTTATGAAATCTACCAATACCAGATAACAAAAAACACCACAGAATACAAAATCATTGGTCACTGGACAGATCAACTCCACCTAGACGTATGTATTTTTAAACTGTTAGGTATGTCTGAAATATCGTATGCTTTCTTCTAATGTTCATTAATAATTGAACTTTTAAAAAGTTCCACAAACTATGAGTTAACATTAAAGTTCAATTTTTAAAGTTGAAGTTAAAAAAAAACACATGGCTTTGAAACTATAATCACTTGTTTCAACTACTGGACAGACTGAGAAACTGAAAAAAAATTCCACATTGTGAACACTGTTTGCAAGTGCTTGCTGGCAGTTGACTTCAAAGTTATATGTGATATGCTAAAAACCTCCATATGATTGGTTTGGTTGATAGAAAATTGCCTTGGTCACCTGTAGTGTTCATGGAAGATGTTAATTTGTCCACAAACACCCACCCACTACTTGCTAAACTGTACTGAAACTGTGGTGTATAAGACACTTTTATGCTAACCGTATACCAAGTCACGCTGCCAGTCCAAGCGACACCACAATGGCAGTGCACACCAACAGATGTGACATAATTTTTAGCTTTGAACAATCGTTCATTTCTCTATTTTTGTAACCTGGCGCGTTGGACCGGTGCCACAGCAGCTGGGTTGAAAACATAAGTGTGCAATCACGTCTTTTTCTTTTTACCGCCATTTTAATAATATATTAACCTGTTAGCAGTCGGACGTACCGCCCACGGTACATTGGATGGTTTAGGGGACTAATTGTAAATTTGTAGGACTGCTAAGGGGTTAACACATAATCTTAAAGATTATAGAGGTTATACATTGGAAGATGTTGCTGCAACAGTTTGAAATCATGCGTCTTTGTGGAAAGCTTTAAAAAAAAAAATATATATATATATATATCTCCACTCTGTTTTTCCAAATCTTTGCTTCTGGTTTCCCCGTATCAGCGCTGATGTGGCGGTATTGCCTGAATGGCAACATCTATCTTTCAGAAGAATACTGCGGTGGATACCTGCACCTTAAATGTGTCACCATATAGCAGTTTCACATGAACCGACCACAAAATGGATGGAATACTGGTGCTTTAATTCAAACCAGAACCCATTAGCTTTCAAAGTAAAAGTTGCACCTTTTGAAATGTGTCGCTTTCGGCACCTTCAGAGTAAAAGTTGTGAATTTTATTTTGAAGGAAAGGAAAAAGGCACTGTTTTTTTTTTTTGTTTGTTTTTTTCAAAGTCTCCCTTTTTCTTTTTTATTGCATCATACTTTTTAATTTTCACTACTATTCAGTGATCTGGGTCTCTTCAGTAGTTAGTGAATCTCTTCCATGCAAACTATAGGCGACTTCCAGAAGCAATCACAAGGTTTTTTTGGTGTCCTCTATGTGAAAAATTTCATCTGGCAATAGCCAGCAATCACTTCCCATCAACAGCGAATACCTACTGATGGAAAGTTTCTGGTTTCTAGGCCTATGTGACTGGGGCCTTAACATAAATAACTAAAAACTAAACTAACTGTATAATTTATAGTGTCATTTGGATTAAACCCATCCCAACAATGCTAAACCAGTCTCTAAACTTGTGGTCATTACATGTGACATTTACAGCAACAGAAAACCCATATGTAGTAAAGCTTAATTTATGCACTTCCTCATAACTTATCCCTAATATCCAAAACTATGCTAAATAAATCTTGCTTATATGCAGCTTTATAGGGAATCATTCAACACAATAGTGACTCAAATCTCAAGAATTTATAGAAACAGAGATGCTTTGGGTCAAAAGACAGTATTATGCAGCGTGACCACATTTACACTCAAAATCATGGCGATAGCAGTAGGTGTGTAATGGAGGAAACAACATTTTTACACAACTATTTGCATCAACCTTTTTTTGACATTTGCTGTCATTCTTTACACACTAATACCAATTTCCTTTTTAATGTATACATAGTGCACAGAATCTGCAGTGTCTGAATATTTAAGCATCAAAACTACTATATTTTAAATGCCAAACCCTCTGAGGAAAAACATGTTTCCATCATGTTTTGCTATGAATGATTCTTAAGTCTCCCTCTGTGTGTTCTTATTTTGTTTACATGCATACTGTAGATAGGATTTTGGATTATCATAGACATCAAGAAGCTGAGTTATGGCAGTACACACAACACCAGCTCACCAACATCAGTAGCTGAGAGCTCTAAGAAGAATAAGAAATACCTTAATTTTTGAAATGTCAGAACAATCATTTAACTATTTGGGTGTTTGAATTAAACTTTCCTGTCCATTTCCACACCCATTTAAGTTAATAAAACTTAACTTCGTTCCAATGAAATCATGCTAATAACTATAAATAATAGTCTCAATGTAACTCATATCATGTAGTAAGTGTCTTAATATCTTAATTATTTTATTAATAAATATTGTCAATATTCTTTCAATAATAACCTTTTTAATGTACTTTCAATTGTACTATAATGAATAACTGAAAATATTTACAATTATATGATTAAAATATAGGAAGATATAGTAAATTATGTCAATAAAATACACAATACTTGTGCATCTTCTGCGTCTACTACATTTGAAAAAGCCAAGTATATTGATAGGAAATAGATTAAAAAATACACACAAATGTGAAAAAATGTTTTGTGTAGACAGAGTTACTAAAGCTCTTTTTTTCTTTTACATTTCCATCTAGACTAATGACATGCAGTGGCCTGGTGAAACACAAGAAGTCCCTTCCTCTATATGCAGTCAACCCTGTCGTCCTGGGCAGCGCAAGAAGACAGTGAAGGGAATTCCTTGTTGTTGGCACTGCGAGAATTGTGATGGTTATCAGTATCAGGCAGACAATTACACCTGCAAGATGTGCCGCTTTGATTTGCGTCCCAATGACAACCACACTGGCTGCGTTCCCATTCCCATTATCAAGCTAGAGTGGAGCTCACCATGGGCCGTGATACCAGTCCTCATTGCAGTCTTTGGGATTATGGCCACTCTGTTAGTGGTTGTAACCTTTGTGCGTTACAATGATACACCAATTGTTAAGGCATCTGGTCGAGAGCTTAGCTATGTGTTGCTGACAGGTATCTTTCTGTGCTATGCTACAACATTCCTTATGATCTCTGCTCCTGATGTGTTCGTATGCTCACTGCGAAGGATTTTCCTTGGTCTGGGTATGAGTATAAGCTATGCAGCACTGCTTACCAAGACAAATAGGATCTACAGGATTTTTGAGCAGGGCAAGATGTCGGTCAGTGCCCCTCGATTTATCTCCCCAGCCTCGCAGTTAGTTATCACATTTAGTCTGATATCAGTGCAGCTCCTTGGAGTGTGCATCTGGTTTGGTGTTGACCCATCACAAGCCATCATAGACTATGTAGACCAGCGCACAGCAAATCCCGACATGGCCCGTGGCGTCTTGAAATGTGATATATCAGACCTGTCTCTCATCTGTCTGCTGGGTTATAGCATGCTTCTGATGGTCACCTGCACAGTTTACGCCATCAAGACTAGAGGGGTTCCAGAGACATTCAACGAGGCCAAGCCTATCGGCTTCACAATGTACACCACCTGCATTGTGTGGCTTGCCTTTATCCCCATCTTCTTCGGGACCTCACAATCAGCGGAAAAGGTAAATAAAAAATTTAAAATTTGCTAGAAGAGTAAGGTCACAAATTGAATTTGTCCCAGTTGTGTAACTGGTTTAGAATGGTATGATGCCAGTGTAGTCTGTATGCTTTCAACAGCAGTTCTCTATTTAAGGCTACAATAGTCTAGTGAATTCACTTGTGCATGTTCACATGTCAGTTTTCCATTTGTAGTTCTTTTATATTTCCTGTGCTTTTTATTATGAAGAAAATGGCCACTCAAACTGTTTGTTGTAAAGCATCAGCTCCTTGTGTCTGTATATGTGGAGCTATTCATCATGAGCTGATGGGCTTTGTGCTGCACTGTGGGATTACAAGACTTTTAAAGTGGGCTTGTGAGAATAATTCATTCACCTCAAGTTTGCTTGGATATGTTTTCTTTAATTGTCTTTCTATGTGTGTTTGACTACTCAGTATTTGCACCCAGTGAAGCTGAATCAATCACTGCACATTCATGCACACAGAAATAGAGAACGCATGTTTGAGAAGTAGCATAAAATTACTGTGGCTGTTGATGTTGCTTGTCAGTTGAAAGTGAATTGCAAATTAGCTCTTACAAGTGCTAATTTTGAGGTTGCACAGCGCAGATGTACATCTAAAAAGCAGAGAGTGGAAAAGTCAAACCACCAACTGCAACAGAAGCTTCAATATTGTAGTACTATAGCCATAATAGCAGCCTTTGGGTTGTTAATATCATAAAAAGGTGGGGATAAATCAAATCAAATCAAATCAAATCACTTTTATTGTCACATCACATGTGCAGGCACACTGGCACAGCACATGCGAGTGAAATTCTTGTGTGCGAGCCCCACAAGCAACAGAGATGTGCATGAACATGAATAAATTTGCATGAACATTGGCTACCAATATTCTGATAGTAACATCTGGAGTTTTTTGGAAACAAAGCTCCTTAGTTTGAAAAAAAGAAATATATGGTTGTCTTACAATGGATAGCAGTTTTTTTGTGAACATGGTAATTCATGAACGTAAACACAGCCACTGATGAGGCAGCGAAGGTGAAAATCACTTCTGGCCTTCATTTGTATGTCCAACAGTGAAAAGCAGGTGGATGAAACGATAGGAGAAATTATTCTCTGTATTAGGGGTTTTAATTAAATTGAACTGGCACATATACAAATCAAAGGCATGTTCTACGGCTGAAGGTCATATTGATTTACACCGCAAGCTAAATCTTTGGACAGTCTAACAGTAAAAAAACAAAACAAAAAAAGCATCACAAACTATGACGACTGATGAAAAAGGCCCTTCACATACATTGTTGTTTTTGCCAGCCATTCACTTTAACAGTGATCAACAGATGAACTATGTTTTATTTATTCAGCGAATATTATTCTAATTACACCCATTATATATAAATTTATAACTGATTCTCACTTTGCATAAATACATTATCAGCTGTAGCTTCACCCTACAATTTTTTATATTATGTAATAGGAAGATTTGTTGAATAATGCTGCTCTTAATTTCATTATTTTTAAATGAACACAAGGAGAGAGCAACAAAAAGTGCCTTAGTAACAGCACAGTTATCTCTAAGGAAGAGATTTAACAATTTTTTGCAGCTGAAATCTTAACTTGTCACAGTTTAGATCCGTTAATGATCGCTGCATTGGACTTAGGTGGTATAATTCCACTGAAAGTGCTTATGCTGGCTCTTTACACTGAACTAAGCCATCTTTATCACACCTATGCTTTCCCTACTGAGATTCAAAATGACGTCAAAATGTCTGCCATGAAACAAGTCTGTTCCTTTCATTATGTGTCAGTATGTATTTTCCCTATTCATGAGAGAAGAGGCTTGCCATCCAGCTTTGTCCTGGTATAGCTGCTACTACCGGCAGACAATGGAGCCCTCAAAGCTGTCGCTGGATGGGCCTGTCATAAAAGAATAAGTATTAGACCAGACATATTAAAACATTAAATTTGATATATTCACAGTCAAAGCCTAAAGTCTTAAACACAAAGGCTGGTGGGAAACAACCTAAGTTAGAATATGGTTTGGGATGAAAAGGCCATAGAGCTGCATGTTTCAAATGACACAGTTTCTCAGCCAGAATTCTGGAAGTCTACTGATTAAGAGCATTTTTCAAGAAGGTAAAAGCTTCTTTAGGCTGCTCCCTTATTCACAAGGAGTCACCACAGCAGATGGATGGCCTATCTGAAGTAGTAGCAGTGGGTATTGTCTGTGTATTTGGAGTCTGGAGAGTTTTTTGTTAAAAATCATTTTAGTTGATTTCACGAAAGTCTAGAAAAATAAATATATAACTAAACCAAAAAGCCTGAACACTTTACCAAGGCTTGGCAACTTTGTGGGAGTGTGATCCAGTGATTGTGTTCACATGGGTCACAAATAGGTAGGGTTACCTCTGGACAAGGAATGCATAAAAACAAAAAGGAGCAATCTGACTTCAAATGAAAGTTCATAATACTTTCTATGTCTGGTCCTGTTCTTTCACTGTGCCAATGGTGAAGATTGGTAACCATTTCGGCACGTCAGGGAAAATTTATGTCATAAAGGCTGATAGAAGTGGACAAGGGTCTTGGCTGCCCTCACAGAGTAACTCCACTCTGTACTCTAGAGGGCTAGGGTTCCAAACTCACCCTAGGCCATGTGTAATCTTCTCAGGAGATTACAAGAATCCCCCTCTATCACCAGGGAATGCTCGTGTGCTGTTTGCAGTAATGATGGAGCACAAAGCTCTGTCACCTCCATCTTCCACTGACATCTTTTTTTCTGACACGGCTTTAGGCAGCTTAATTTCAACAGAGCTTCTCTACATTTTGTTTTTTTTACATCAACATGACATGGCATTGCCTTTCCACTTGAACTAACTGAACACTCTACAATATAATACCTATAGAATCCAAACAAAACACTCATTGATGCTACACAAACCACCTTGTAACTTCCAATGTTATTTTTGTCTTGTGCTACAACACTGACATCTAGTTGTACTGATGGCAATTGGACTAGTTAAAATTCTGTAAGAGAAAGGTTGTGAGCAGAAGAACTGGATGAGTGTAAAGCCCTTTGACACAACTCTGATGACTGGACAACTGGGTGTCTCAAGGGTTTTCAAGGTGTGAAAACCATTTTTTTTAGCAACCATACGGTTTGAGGTTTATGGAGATGAAATAAATTGCAAGGGCAGTCCAGATTTTCAGAGTAATTTTCTTTTCCTAAAGAAACCATACAAAGAGAGCGACATTAAGCAATGCGCCCACTACACAGGGGTGGCTGTAGCCCATAGGAAAACACCCTAAAATCTCTGAGCCACCTCTTTTCTTGGTTTACTACATTATTAAATTGATATTAATAACATTTACACAATATATTAATATAATCTAATACAAGTACAGAACAAATAACATAAGAATAACTAAAAAAAAGAATAACACCAAAACCCCTACAATAAAAAAAAGGAAGTGTGATTCATTCAGGCCCCACATCACAAACTTACAGAGCTTAAAGACTGCTACTAATGTCTTAGTGCCAGATACCACGGGACATTTTCAGGGGTCTTGTGGACTATGCCTCAATTGTTCAGTTATTTTGGCAGCATGAGAGGGATCTAGTGGATATAAGGCCAGAGGTTTTAATGCTATGGCTGATTGGAGAATGTCACAACTGTATGTTGGGAAACATCATCTATAACTGTTGACAAGAGCCCTTTTGGCTATTCCCATGTCAAACAGCTCAGTCATTTGTGATGTCTGCAAATGTAATGTCAAACAAAACCTTGGGCAAATCTCTTTGAAGGATGTTTCTCAGCTGTGTTTCACTGTACACTTACTGCCTTGTGTTCATCAACTTTAGAGAGGCAAAGTAAGCTGTTCTCTACTTCCCCTTTATTCAATTAAGGTTTTCACGCAATGATATTGGGAAAAAGATGAAGTTGGATCACAGTTTCTTTGTTAAATTCATGAAACTAACATTTAAATCCAGGACACTGTATTTTCATATTTTGCACTGGTTTTGCACCTTAAACAGAAATTTAAAGCATGTCATAAAAATTAATCAATGCCAAATGTTGTCTACCTACTAACATCTGCCCTGACTCGTCACATTCTCTACAGTAACAAATTAGAGATGTACTGTGTATGAGTTGTAGGGTGATTATCATAAATGAAAAATTTATGATATAGGCCTTTTTATTATGCTGTAGGCTGTTTCTTTCCACTCCCCAGTTGTTGCCTATAGCTATGTATCTGCTACCCAGCTGTGAGTAGCAGCTGTCACTGGCTTCAGAAAACACACAATGATGTTGTCTAAAACCTCAGGGTAAAAACATCTATGCATCAGGGGGGCTTTTTTTTTTTATATGCATATCATAAAATAAACAAACCCTGAAATGACGGTAGAAGTCAGGAGTCACCAGTTTACATAAATGTTCCTGTGTTCCATCACAATTTGCTATATAAGATGTGAAACATAGAAATATCGTCCACTAAACTTCCTTTTAGCTAAAGGAGAGTGACTTCATTCTGTAGCTTGAACTGGGAAGGCTCTGAGCAACACTCGGTCTTGTTATGTACGCAGTTTAATTTGAGACTATCGCATTTCTTTCCATGACACAGTGCTTCCAAAAAAATTATTATTTTGTCTCTATTATCTCTTTTATAATACAGATGTACATCCAGACTACAACCCTAACCATCTCTATAAGCCTCAGTGCATCGGTCTCTCTGGGTATGCTCTACATGCCCAAAGTCTACGTGGTTCTTTTCCATCCAGAGCAGAACGTACCCAAGCGCAAACGCAGTCTAAAGGCTGTGGTCACTGCAGCCACCATGTCCAACAAGTTCAACCCTAAAGGTGGCCTGAGGCCCAACGGAGAGGCCAAATCTGAACTTTGTGAAAGTCTTGAAACACAAGGTTGGTATCACACGATGACATCCATCCATGCAACAAAGGAAAGACAGGTCAACCAGCATCTGTTAATGCACTCTGTATGCAGAAAATAATGAACTCCTTTTAAGTGAAGATTACATTTTTCTTTAACAGATGACAAAAAGAATGATGGGAATAATTAGAAGTGATAGGGGTTGTGTCACATTAGCTTCTCACTTGCACATAAGTGACGTAGTAGTTAAGTGTTCCCTTCAAAAAAGACTGGAAGTTAATTTTCTATATTTGAAGGATTCTTTTTTAATTTTACTGTATGCAATAGCAAAATAGTTTAATTTTCAAAAACTATATTGATACTGGATTTGCCAGTCAGAAGGTGTGGCAGGGGGCCCATACTATTCTGAAAGGGATAAAAGCAAGGATAACTCAGTGTTGGAGATGAGGATATTTCAATCACCAAGACAAATGGTATGAACAGGCAGTGCCTGTGTGGGGGCAGGAATAAATCCAGTCAAGCACCCCCACATGTTGTGATTACTTAAGGTACTGATTTTTTACTCTGACAAGCTGAACAATATACCATGATATATATCCGGACTAAAAAAAAGACAACTTACACTTATGTGTATGTTTTCTTCCTATCTTGAAAGGGAATTGTTACAGTATATCTTATCCAATTACAGAACCCATTTATAGGTGCTGAGACTTAACCTCTGGTTTAAACTGTGAATCTAACAACTGCTCTTTGTGCTTATGTGTCAGATTGTGTTGAGGGAGGGGAGCCTTGTGAGGGACTTTAGACTCTCAGGTAACCTGATTAGAAAATGACTTTGCTCTTCTGTCATCCTTGAGCACTTTCCTGTTAATTTCTGCTAATGTTCACCACAACACCTGTGCCTGCCTACACAATGCAAAAAAGCATCCCTGCTAAAATTCAGCACCCTGAATGACATAAAGCATTAATCACACAGTCACAAATCCACCCTGGACCAAGGGATATTAACTTGGATAAACAATATTGGTGTGTGGTGCTGTAAAATGGCCAATCAGCATGGTAAAGCCTGTTAATGTGAGAAGATGACAACCCTCTGCCGGAGAGGAGACAAGCGATAGCCATGTGTCCCCTGTAATTTGTTTCCCTGTTGACAAAAGAAGGAATTTGTGGTAATGGGACAACAACAACAATAAGAGTGAACAGGAAAAGACAGATGGGTCTGCCAGCTCCAATTCTTTCTGGACCATCTATTCTTTATCTTGGCCTCGCAGCATATAAATATTCAAATAAGGTTCATTTATCAATGCTTTTCTTGGAAGATATGCTTTGGATGAAATGGCAAGAATACCGCCCCCATTCACCGACCCAGTATGGCCCTGACAAATATACCAGAAGCGTTTACCATTGCACATCTCTCCTCTGCAGCACTTTTGCCCCTACTCTGGCTTTCAGCCGTCTTCTGATTGGATTCATCCCTTCTGACATATTCAATCAGCCAAGGCTGCTGTAGGTAGATTGGCAGATTGGTAGTGTGATTACCACCACAGAGCATGCTCGCTGAGGACAGTTTTACTTTTAAAAATTACACATACACTCATATTTGCACAGACATATGTGTGCAGACAAGCATGACTGCACACATACTCATAGGTACTGTATGTATGACAGTCACATTTGACCAGTGGTTTGGGTTTGTTATGATTGCTGTGGTCTGCCCTCTGGTCATCTGACTTATGTGCTTCATTCACAGCTCACAAATTTCCACAAACAATGAAAAGAATAATTAGAACCATTATCAAACTTTGATAGCAAAAGCTATACGGCCGGGACAGATCACATATTGCCTTAATTGTATTTTACATGTAAAACACCACAGTTAAGAATGGTAATACATTGACTGCTGCATGCTTTGCTTGATGCACATAGAAACCACAGGTCGTTGCATGCACTAAAATACTTGCATTTGAATGGTTACTCCCGTATTTTATGCTACTGCTGTGAACTGCTTGGTAGTTTAGTAGTTTGTATTTTGGAATTGCAATTTAATAGTATAATCTAAAAAAATAGAGAGTTTTCCTGATTTTACTATGCTGTAGAACCAGGTACATATGAGTGCAAAACTCAAGTGACTCTGAATAATTTTGCATTGCTGTCAAATCTTATAATACTATGTTTTTAAAATGTCTGCAATATTACCAGACAGACTTATCTCAAGGGAAAACAAGGGGAAAACATGTAAATATGATGCATCTGTATGTATACACAGGCAGGAATTGTTACATTTTTATTTACTGTCAGCGTTGGAAGATGGTTTTATACTGGCACCACAGATGTTTTCGTGACTCCTCAAGGCACCCATGCCAAACTAACAACAAAGCATTGAAAAAAAAAAAGAAAAAAAAAGAGCTGCTGTAGTATTTTAACCCAAATTCTAACAAAGCAGTTTTCCTGCCTAAACCAAGATCAGTATTTGTGGTGGTCAACTCTAAAAATAAAGCACATGGCATCAAAAGTGAACAATGAAAGAGTAATATGACATATCAATACCAATGTAATACCAATGAAAATCACAGATTCCATGATGCATTCAAACTACAGTGTCTGCTGTGTTGAGAAAGGTGACATGATAAACTCTGTTGAAAGAAATGATAATACAAATTAATACATTAAATGAATACTGTTACCAAACATAAATAATATACCTGTAAAATGTGAGGATAATTCCATTTCACGTCATATGTACATTATATATTTTTTGGATTTTTAGACTAGATCTAATAATGTCATTTGGAGGTTTAAAGGATTTTAGATGAGGATTCCTTTTATATTTAACAGATATTACTTTTTAATATAAAAGTAATTTTACTAAATATTTTCAAACTATTATTATTTTAATAAAAAAAGAAATCAAAAGATTAACAGTAACTAATCATTTGGATAAATGAGCCCAAACGTTATATACGCCATAAGAAAATGAACAGAACCTCTTCTTTAGAAACCAGCACATCCTCCATAAACAAGGGAACATTTATTACCATCCAAAAAAGAAGAAACGGACAGCTCTTTAGATAAAAACAAGCTGTTCCTCTTTTATCATATTTTTATGATATATATTTATGTTGGTTGCAGCTTTTATTAGATGGGCTGTGATTACAGATGTTGTTGAATTTGTGCATTTTACACATCACTAACAGTTTATTTTGTATCTTAGACGTGAGCATGCGAGACATTAAGATAATTTAACATTAGCATCAAGCTATTAAAATTAGTTTCACTTGTGCTTGTTTACTTGAGTCGTTCATAAGGAGAACTTTACAAAAATCAGAATTCCAACACTATGATTGCCTATTTGAATCTCACCCATTGCATTTTTAACCCTTCTTTCTTCTTCCCTATTACTACAGTGTTGGCCTCAAAGCAGACATACATAAGCTACAGTAACCATGCCATCTAAGACCGAGATGAGCCGTGGAAGAGGAGAAAAGGCCTGCCTGAGGAGAAATCACCTGATTCTGGGGGCATATTGGGGATACACTGGAGAACTTTCAAGCTGCTACATCAGAGGATTGGGGTGGAAAGATGGGAATTTGTCACTCCAAAGGATGTCATATTTTTTTTATGGAATCATGTAAAGGCTTGGATGCAAATTTTATGATAAATTAGTAGCTTGTAGGAGGGAGAGAAGAGATGTAAGGGAGCTTGGGCAGTTAATTTTTCTCTTCCCACCCTGAGCATTGATCAGTGACGTTTCCAGATGTAGGCTGAATGAACCACCTGGAGCTTACAGATTTTTATTTATTTTTTCTGAAGTGTATAGAGCACAAGTTCAGTTCTCTCTGATATTGAATTGCTTGTCTCATTTCAGTAAAAACAGGGGAAAGCATTCTGTTTTTATCAAATGCAGCTGACGAAATGAAGTGGTGTAAAAAAATGTAGTAGTTATTTTTGGTTACAGGTGTATTTGGAGTTGAAAGCTGCAGTACTCTTCAGACTGTACATGCCTTACGACAGTACACTCAGTATTCCTACATGAACTAAATATATCTGAAACACATGAAAATAAGGCAGTGGGTCTCCCCAGTAGTTTTTTTTTTTACCGTTTCATAATAATGAGGACACCACCGTTTTGGCAATCCTAGTGTACAGTCCCAGAGCATGCTTATGGGAGCATCACGTGTACTGTGCTGTGTTGTCAACGTCTATGGAATGCAACATTTGTCATCGTTGTCATTCACAGTGGAGATGTCATTTTTGGGGTATCCCTCTGCTGAACGAAAATAAGTCAAACAAACCAAACACAAATTGCCATGCAATAGCTCTATGGTTGACATCACATTCCATAAATGTCAGTCAGGACTTGGACACTTGACTGTAAACATCTGAGATTGAGGGGCTCTTATTTATCATGCACCTATTGAAGCCTTTTGAAAGACTGTCAAAATTTCACTTGTAGCGTTGAAAGTAATTGACAAATTTAGCCTAAAAGAGTTTTGATTAAAATTCAATAAGACTGTAAGACTTGTAATAAAGACTGTATACTCTGTACCTTAATGCAGGGTATTGTGATATAGTAGATTTTTAAAGAAAAAAAAGACAACAACAAGCTGTTGTCATGCCAGACATATTGTTATTAAAGCCTGACAACATATGATAAATGGGACAGAAGAAATGCACTACAAGACTAATCTGTGTGCTTGCAAAAGATTTTTATGGAAAAAAATGCATTCCTCTTCTGGGTCTTGGATTTTATGCCTGAAGTGGAAATGATAAAATATATTTTAATTTAAAACAAGGCTCAAGTAGCTAGCCGGCGTTAATACCAATTTTGAAAAGGTATTGGCTTAGTTCAGACAACTGGTCAAAAAGTTCAAACATAATTAGCAATATGATATATTGTTTCAACATACACTGTAACAATTTAAATTAATATTCAATCCATTGTCTGATTTTTATATATATCAATAAAAGATACAGCCATGCTGTACTAAGTAGTAGCAAGTTCACCTTCCACTTGGCAGCTATCTTAATTATTTCTTGCTTCCAGCAAACAATTTGACTTTGTGTTTAACAAGACCCACCTATTTTTCTTTCCACAGAAATTGCTGGAAACCCAAATATAGACAAAAGGCCATAAACATGACACCAGCAGGATACACTTCTTTGTTTGTGTATAAAGGATGTGCAAAAAGAATTGTTTGTTTAAATGTTAACCAGCCGGTAGTTTCTCAGGTTTACTTTGAAGTATTTCTGCCCCCTAGTGATCAAGAGTTTCTAAGTACCGCTTTACATCTCTACAGTGATACATCACTGGTCCATGCCTACTAATTAATTGGTTTTCACAGTACTGAACATAAAAAAAAAAAAAATCAAAGGTATGAATACTTGCTTGATAAATAAGGGCCACTGCCTTCATTCTGTGCCTCATATCCATTAAACTACTTCTGCTAAATGTTCCATGGTTCTTTCATCATGTTTGTGTTGCCAGTATTACCTTTCAGTTGTTCAGTTTAAACATTATTACGGATGAATTCAGTGTACAATTTAAAATGTGTAAACACCATTACTGTTTCCATTCTCTAAAATATTACTAATAACAGTATTTTCTGGATTTTTTGTCTCATTAAATGTTATCCTCAGTAATGCAAAAATTGTATGTTGCATGTCAAAACCCATAAGAAAGTCGTGTGGTAAAATTGGAGAGAAAGGCATAAAGTCCAGACTACTGCAGAGGATTATAACTTACAAATATTTTGCTTTTTGATCAATGATTCTCTCAGCTCTCAGCTTCAACGAGTCTAAGGTGTTGCGCAAATGTTGTTTTCTCATTTGATAAAGTATTGTTTGTGGGATTGTTTGTGTTTGTGAATATGATCATTTTACTGCTTTTTTGCCACGACCCCCCTCCCCACCTACTTTTATTTTTCTAAAACACTGTCTGTGTTACAAAATAGAATATGTAATTGCTGACTGAAATTAAATGGCAAGTTAATGTATGTTATTAAAATTGATTGATCATGTCTGCTTTATGTACCAAATTATTAAAAAAAAGAGAAAAAAACAGTTACAGTGCCTGGATATTTATGAACTATCTATAAAAATAAAAAAAAGCTGTGTAGAGCATGTTCATTTTTATACAAGATATTTCTAATAAAAAGATTGTTTTGTTAACACGTTGTTGGTGTGTCTTCTTAGTGAGCATTTCCTTAGCAAAGAAAGCAACATTTAAAATTATTTTTATGAGTATTCTGTTGTCTTGTAGATTAAATGAATGCCTACTTATGGTTCAGTCACAATATAGTAAAAAATAGGACAGAGGTTGTAAATCCAACACTAACAACCTGTGGATAATCACTTTCTAATCACAAGGCAGTTGCACAAACTGTTAATTGACGGAACCTTTCTCCAAGCGATCAAAGTCTGACTACAATAATACATACAGAAAAAAACCCAACAATCATATAACCCCCTATGTGCAAGCACTTTGGCGACAGTGGGAAGGAAAAACTCCTTGAGAACTGAACTGAACTGAGAAAGGCCAAGACTGAAAGCTTGTGAAAAATGTTCAAATAACTACAGGCTGGGGAACTATTGTTCAAGACTACTTTAAACATTAACAGAAAGTCTGAGTCCTTGGAAGCAAAACATAAAGAAGTAAGCAGTGTTTTGAGACTTCTGTAGAGTAGTGTATACCGTAGGCAAAAAGAAAGTATTTTAAAGATATAATTTTAAGTTAATTTTAAGTGTTACCCGTTTGTTTGTTGTAAGTAAGATGATGGCTTTCAAATTATCCGGCACTGCTGCATAATTTCTATACCTCTGTTATCCCTAGCTATCAACCATTTATGCTACTCACAGAGGATGCAGAGATTTGTAATTGGGTTTTTTGTTTTTTTCCCCCATTTCTAATGCTTATTTCATCCAAATAATTAAGAAAAGCCAAGTCATTTGAATATTTCCCCATTAACAATATTATAACTGCTTTAACATTTCCAGTATTCAAATTAATGAATAGGCTACTGCTCATGAGACCACTGGGGGAATACATGCTGAAAATAAAAAGGTGTTTCTCATTTGAAATATCACGTTAATATTTCCACTTGGCTGCTCTAACCAGTGAGTGGGTATTTCATTTTGTACCCAAGAGAAAAGCGTTAAATATTGCTGAGGTGCTTGTTTCTTTCTAAATGTGCTGGAGACACAAATGTATAAGATGCAGTAAGTGTAGACCCTGTGGTGCAGTGCTGGAGGAATGACATCAACTTTTTTTTTTTATTGTTATTTGTTTACATTTGTGGTCAGAAAGTTGATAGTAGCTTATTTTTGCTCAAATATTTTCAGGGTGTCCAAATAGCTATATGTGGTGTTGCCTATGTGTTGGACTCTGTGTGACTGATGCAGTTTCTGTGAGCTAATGCAGGCATTACACAAGGACAGAGGTGGCAAAAGTGCAAATATTCTGTACTTAAGTAGATGTACTTATGTTAAAGAAATACTGTGGTAAATGAAAAAATACAGTCTCTGAAATGTGCTCAAAGTAAGGACCTCTTTTGAGGATGTCTTGACCAGCTATTTTTGGAAGAAGCTAAGTGAACATTGTCCTATATTAGTGCAATAAAACTACATTAGTACATGGGGATAAAACCTTATTTCAGTCAGTCTAAATTCTGATTCTATTAAATGTACTTGAATTAATTGTGTGGAACATGAACGTAGAAAAAGATCCAATATTCAATTTAAAAAAATGAGAACTTACATGTAAACTTTAAATCTCAGTTCATCAAATACTACTAAGCAGTCCTTACCTTTAAATGAAACCTCTCTTCTTCCTCTCCTGAACTGTCTTTTTTTTTTTTTTTTTTTTTAAATCTTTCTCTATCTCTGAGTAAAGTTAACTCTCACTCATTTCTCTCCCTGGGAAATACAGCAGCTGAATGTTTAGCTAGCAGACAATGTGTGGGAAAGCTGCAGACAAACACTCTGAATGTTTGATGATAGTTGTTGAGCTATAAGAAACCTTGCATTTGAAATTAAATGCCACCTAAAAGTCTTTACTCCCTATATGCTCACTGAGGGTGGAGTACCATAACCACAAATTGGAACACCTGCACTTAAAAACAAACAAAACAAACAAAGGAATAGATATTAGTGTAAAAATGCAGGGAGTAAAAGTACAAGTATTTGTACTTTTTTACTTCCCATCACTGCACAAGGGTTTAGTGTAAATGATGGAGATGGAAGGCAGCAAGTTTTAAATGACAAAGGGGATCAAGCCTGCATTCTTTCATGACATGAATAATATATAACATATTTTGATCCATAAAAATAATGTTGCAACTCTGCATTGAATGTTAAGAAAAAAATGGTGTTATTTTTATTTCTTTCATTATATTTCTTTTATCAAATCACTGAAATGTTTATGCCACATACACAATTTTTTAGCAAAGCTCTTTAAAAAGGAAAAAAATAAGACAGAAGACTGGAAGGGGGGAAATTTCTTGTGTAGTACAATAAATCATGATGACAGCCTATACACATGTGTGCCCCATTACTGAAAGCCTGTGGCAGCAATTTAATTTGGACCTCCCGTGACCTGACTCAGAGAAAGTAGTAGTAATTACTATGAAATTATGAATTTGTTTGATTCTAATTTCTTCTGAGTGATTGTTGCCTGAACAATATGAAAGCAGTGTAAGTTTTAACAAAATTTAAAAGACCTTAGGTTGACAATGATTGACTTTAGCTGATCATTTTTATTTAAAACTGCAAATGGCAGCCTCCTGAAGAAATATTATTCTACCATTAGCACCAATTCATAATTAACACAATATCTAGAAGAAACTAGTGACATAGCTACCTCGGCATCTAAACCCCCAGGGTTCTTTTTGAGATTCCTGCGTGGAAATTGCATTCCAAAAATAAATTTAGTATTTCACTCCAATTAAAAATTCTGTATTAACCATCTTGGTATCAAAATAAAGCTACCACTTGTGAGTCTTCATTAAAGGTGTAAGCGTCACAACAGATGCCACGGCCAACCAGCCTATCACTGATTAGTCTCTAGGCATGTGTCACTGCGGCTTTAGCAATCAATTTCACAGCGACTGCCAGCAAGCTACAGCGACCACACATCACCAGTTGGAGAATACTATTTTTTCCTTAGGGACCTGTGATAGAGTTCTGCTTCCAAATGACTATGAATGATAACTATCAAGCTCTTGAATTGTTTGATCTTCCTGGCAAATGACCTCACTTTCAAACCTTCAGTAGTAATTTTGTGGACGTCCATTACAGCTGCAGGGAATTCACTAGATTAATAAATGCATTTTTTAATTTAACAATATTAGCATTGTTATTATCAACATGATACATATGAATACAGATTATTTATAAACAAACACTTTTTATTATGTGTTAACCTAATGATTTATTCAGCACGTTGTTTTTTTTAAATTTTATTTTAGATTTTCCTAGTTTATTTATTTTAATTAACTTATTTGTTTGTAACCAGGTTAAAACTGTCATTTATTAAATTTTGTTTGAAATATTAAAAAAGTTGAAATCAATGTTAAAATGTAAAATGGTTAAAGTATTTAGAAAAGAGTACAATGTGTATAACAAGTTTAAAAGAACATTTCAATTATATATAGTTCAATTTTATTTTAGTGAGGTTGGTGTCTTTGTAGGAGGAAGTGAATGTGGTTGTGATCGTTAGCCTGCTCTGAGAGAAGTTTGGATGGAAAGTACAAGTTTGTGTAAGTCAGTATGCATGAACTGGACTATCTGCTCAACAGTCTTTGTCGATGCACACATTTTGCAAACTGACTGTGAGAAGCTGAGGACACTGCTGCTCCGAAATCCATCACGCGGCTGCTCACTTTTGTTTTAGCTCAAGAGCTTGCACCATTTGGAAAGGTCCGCTGATCACTCAGCATTCCTCCACCCTCTAGAAAAATGCGACTAGAAGCGTTATAAAAACAATGTCTAAAAAGCTTGACATTGAAAAGACATCCACAACAACTACATTTGGACTATAAATAGCCCTTACACGGAGGTCCTATGGACGTCAACTGTAGAAGTTCAGTAGGTGTTACAAAACAACCCATCAGTAGACCAAAACTGTACGTCCAAAAATGACTCCTAAAGAGCGTCACTCTGCCATGACTTTGTGCAGTGGGTCGTCACAGGCAACTTTTCTCTAAGATTATGGGTTACTCTTTTCTTCTCAATGAGTTTTCCTTTCAATCTTTACATAATGATTATTTCACCTGCACAGCATGGTCATGCACAGATGTGATACTCTCACTGTCAGCACATCCATTTGCTCATTTAAGTTAATGTGCACACATATAATCAGACACCAAGCACCACTCGGGTCTATGTATTGCACTTTTATGGCATATCTCACCACACTTTCTACGCTTGACAGACACAACTATGGACACACTAAAGTTTATCCCAAGGAATGTGAGTGGAGCTGGCTCCAGAGAGAAGAGGTTAAAGACTTTTAACCAGCTTAAAAATCTACAGGCAGACGTCTTACTACAAGAGTCTCAAAGGGCCCCCACAGTTACAGATGAACTTAAAACACCTGAGTTTCTTAATGTGTTCTCAGCCTGCTATAACTCTGGGAGTAGCAATTTTAATATATAAAAATGTTAATTTCACAGTACTCAACACAGTTATAGAGCCAGAGGGTAGATTTCTAATAATTAAACTATATATACGTAACGAAGTTGTGAGTGTATATGGCCCAAATGTTGTTGACACCTCATTCTTATACGCTTTTTTTTTTACCGCACTGTAGGAACACCTAGATTGCTCACTTGTTCTTGGGGGCGACCTCAACTTTGGACTAAATGAAGAAATGGACAGGCTCAGTGCAGCTGGAACTCAGCACAATTGGCAGATTTTGCAACACATGGCGATCTCTTCACCCCAAATGCAGGAAACATACTTATTTCTCACATGTCCATCACTCTTACTCTGTCTGGATTATTTCCTTGTCAGCAGCTCCCTGCTGAGTGACATTTCATACACTGAGATACAACCTATAGCTGTTAGCGATCATGCTCCTGTGTCTTTAATTCTAATAAATAAGAAGGTCATTTCC